AGTTTTTTTCGACTTACCCTATTCCACGAGTGTAGCACGGCGCCAATGGCTTCACAAGTCTGTATATCCAGGCATAGGTATTTCACGGACAGCTCGGTATCCTTGGCCATCGCAATCTGGCAGACAATAGTGAGTGCGGTGCGAAGGACCGCCACGCTACCGAATCTCTGCCCAAACAAAACATGTAAAAGCGCATAGCAGATGTGGCACTCCTTCCTGGGGACTTACACGGGAGGGGCACTCACATGGGACGGTGACTCACATGGGACGGTGACTCACATGGGACGGTGACTCACATGGGACGGAAAATTAGAGGGGACTTTGGTGGGGGCAAGCGCGAGGGGCGTGCTTACCGGATGTTGCGTGCAGTACATGAGCATGGTAACGGCGGCGGGTGCAGCGTACTGATGGACGACTTGCAGTTGGTCGGCTTCGAGGTCGTCTGCCAGTGTGACGAGTGTGACAAGGTTCGTGAGGATTTCAGCTTTGGAGCGGAGGTCGGCCGCAGAGCTGCTGAGTACAAGGCACTGTAGTTTGAGACAGAGGTCGAAAGGAGCGAGAGTCCGTTCGGCGGTAGCGCCCTCGGATCCGGCTTGGATGAGTCGAGCAAGTTTGTCGAAGGTGTGACGATTGAGGAGCATGGCTAGGAAGTGGGCATTAATGACGTGACGGTTGATGGCTGCGACAGGCACGGTCTTCTTTTCCGGGGCGTAGGTTTGTATGGCTTCCCAGACTTGTTTGGTGGTCCATTGGGTCTCTCCACCGCCAGCCTCAACGTTGGTGGTGAAGAGAATGTTAAGTAGGTCTGTCCAGGACGTCTTGGGATCAAATGGCTGTGTGAAATCGGCAGAGCGTGCATGGACTATGAAGAGTAACAGTTCGCTGAGTATCTGCAGGTCGAAATCGTCGGCATTGTCCACGGTGGCAAGCAGGTCTCCAACCTGTAGCTCCTCTCCGGCGAGCGAACCACTGAGGAGGCGGCCGAGGTACTGCGCGATGCGGAACATATGCAGGTGGATGAGCTCGGCGTGGCGATCGTTGAGAGTATCAATACCAAAGTACAGCGCCGAGGTGGCGGCCGGGCTGTACACGAGCCGTTCCATCAAGTAGCGCAGCTGCTGCGCCACATCATAGCCCTGCACGTCGTACTCCAACTGGTCCCTGGGCTTCATAGCGAGCTTGGTCTCCAAATCTTTCGGTACCGGTACATGTGTTTTGCGGAACAGCTCCAGTATCAGCACCCTCAATACGGGCACCAGCGCGTCCAAGACTGCAGGACGCACCTTAGCCTGAGTGCCAAGCCAATCGAGGGCTGCCGGCGGATACAGGAGCGTATCGCACTTGCATTCGATCAAGTCGTCATACGTGCCCGTTAGGCCGCGCGCAGGCGTAAGGGAGTCCGCGACGGCCCGCACGTCCACCATGATGGCCGCCGGGTCGGGACCGTCGTCGTCATCCCATTCCTCCTCTTCCTCTTCCTCATCCTCATCCCCACCTCTCTTTCTGCGACCCACAATGGACAAGTCGATGTTCGCCTGGATCACGATGTCCTGCACCGTCTCGCGTAACGGCGGGCAGAGACTGCGACGCAGGACGTAGCAACAGACGCCGCCGTCGTCGTGGACCCCAATCAGTTCGCGCATACGCCACGCCGCGCTGTCATTACTCAGGTTCATCCTCTTGATCACGTTCCGGTTCTGCTCCACAATTAGTCGCGGGTACGAATAGGACATCATCTCCAACACATCCTGCACCAAGTCCAGGAAACTGCCCTGGCTACCCTCCCCCGTGTCCCCGCCCTGGCCACTATAGCTAGGGACTTGTACCTCTACCCAGACCGATAACCCTCGAGACGGGTCCTCGAAACTGCCACTGAAGCGGTCGAAACGCGTCGCCACCCAGTGACTTGGCACGAAGTAGTCGAACCCGCTCTGCGACACGCGCCGCCACTTGCTCCAGCCCTTCAACGTCACAATCGGCTCCAACTGACTCCGGAAACTGTCACGAACCAGACGCGGCACGTCCGTTGGGCGCAACACCTTCAGGTCGCACAGAACTCCCACGTCGCTCGCCTGGTATGCCAGGTACGCCAACTCCAAATGCTTCAGCAAACTGTACCCATCGTCGATCCAGCCCCAAGCGCGCTCCTCCTGCCAAAACCAGTGCTCGCCATGCCGCTTTTTAAAACAAAATAACTGGTCTGAAGTCCCATTGTACACTGACACCGAATCGATCACGCTGTAAGAGATGAAACAAGCCGTATGCTTTCTACAGTGCAAGCAAATTGCGGAGACTCTAAGCCGTTTTCAGCCATTCTAGGCCATTGCACACGCGTGTGCACACGCGTGTGCACACGCGTGTGCTGCTCCCCGGGAGGCGCTTACTTGGTGAAACTTCGAGTGAAAAACTGCAATCCGTACTCTCCCACACCCACGTAGCCTTGGACTGGTTTCTCATCCCATAGCCAGGTCGCTTTGGAAAAGTACAGGATCGTCTCGTTGGCGACGTTTTTGAGGATGTGCAGCAGCGCCGGATCTGTTTCTAAAAGAGAAGAAACGCTGTCGGGACGTGTCCAAGTCCCCCAAAGGTGTGGGGAGTGTGCACCTCCGTGTTTCTTTACCTGCCATGTGTTGGGCGAGTGTTTGTCGATGCACCTATGCGGCGGGTGGTGGTGATAAAGGCGAAGACGCCGCCGGATGTGTTCAAGACGGGGAAGAAGGTGTTGGTGAAGAAGTTGCCTCCGACTGCGAAGCCGAAGCCTAAGCCGACGTTGGCAAAGACAGCGAGTCCACAGTCGGAGGATGGCGGGGAGGTAGGTCACTGGAGTCGTCAATTAGGTCCGTTGGAGAAGCAACGGTTGGTTGGTGGTATGTTTGATTCGGATGAAGAAGACGACCGTCGCCGGAGGCGTCGGCGGCGGCGTCGACGACGTTACGACTCGGATGAATCGTCTGACTGGGAGGACTCTGAGTCGGATCATTTCAACTGGGACCCACGACGTAGTGCGGAGATAATAGCGAAGCACCGGGGTGTGAACAACTACGTGAATGCACTCAAGGCTGAGATTAATGCGTTACAGGAGCGACTAAACCATGAAGGTGGCGGAGGTGCAGTGATGGGGGCAGGTGGTACGGACCAGCGCGGACGGCGACTGATCTTTTTTCAGCAGCAGAACCGGTCGGTATGTCGGCGTCTGCGACGGTCGGTGCGGCAGTGTGTACGACTCCAGATGCGCTTGGCCAAACACGGCCTTTCGGTCGATGAGCCGATTGTGGAGGAGTTCCCCTATTGGGAAATCAACGATACTCTTGCTGGCGGCCGCGGAGGCCCCTGCCGCTGTACCAAGGCACTTTGTGTACTCGTCGAAGCTCTCGAAGAATTGGTTCCTGCACACGAATCTAGTGTCTGGGAAACCCGTATACAAGTCGTCAGTCAACAGCGAGATAAACTATTCAACGAACTTATGGCTGTCAGAGACCGCCTCACCGAAATACAACTCATTGTCAACGCCGATCCCTTCCTGCAAGCACGCATCAACACAAGCTCACTCGGATTAGACATCAACTGCGCACTCAATAAGGAAGAACAACAACTCATCATGCTACGGAAAATACAGGGACTCGAAATGTTCGTTCGTGAACTTGAGAATCAACTACTCGTGGAAAAAACTATCAGCCAACAATGGCGACCAGAATTGCGCAAACTGAGCGGCTCCGTGGCAAAGGCCTTCAGCGAAATACTCAGCCAAGACATAAACTTTTGTGAGTTCTCCGAAAAAATGGCTGCCGTTGTCGACAGACTCAGCAACTCCGAACAACTTAAAGGTGGTTCCGCCGAAGACTCACTCAAACTCAGAGTCAGACAGGACGCGAAAAGTAAGTCCCACATGTGCATGTGCCCGCTCCACATGTGTATGTGCCCACTCGCGGCCCCCACTTGTGTATGTGTGTGCACACACATACAGGAGGGGCCTGTGCTCCGATCTGTGTGCTCCGTCGGGGCGCTGTGGTTTGCCATGCGTTGGTTCCTCAGGAATTCAGTTTTATGTGGAGAGGATCAGTGAGTTGGAGCGCCAGGTGGTCTTTCTAACCAATCCTTCGCATGAGCACAATGTAAGCAACACTATTTGTAAAGGCGGCGGTGGCGGTGGCGTGAAGTATGGGGCGGTGCAAGAGACCGCGTTGCCGTTGACAACTGAGCAGCGTCTTCGTTTGACCCGTTTGGGGCCAGGCGGGTCGGATGGCAGCCAGTCCGACAGCAGCTCGTCTGACCAGAAGGTCGCGTCCAGACGTAAGGCTGGCTCCGAAAGCTATGTGCCAACAAAATACCTCGAGAAGGATCGGGCACGCACGGAAGGCTTCTTGACATTGTCCGGTGTGCCGTTGGCGGGCTTGTCTCTAAGGACGGGTGCGCCGAAGCGAAAGATGACTGGCAGACCGCCGTCAAGGTCGGCCGGGGATCAAGCCCAACAAAATGGTGGTCAACCTCAGGGCGGGGATCAGTCATCACTGGCGGGGTTACCGGACACTGCCGCCTCCGTCGCCTCCTATTTGTCAAGCAAGTTGTTCTCCCTTCCTGCTTCGTAGAGACGAGTTCCGTCTCTTTATTTTTAAGAAACACACGTGTGTGTCGGCACTGACCGGCAACACACGTGTGTGTGGATGAACAATATCTGTACATTAGAACGAGAATGACATCAACCAGGGTCTGGTACGGAACATACCAGCGGATGTGGATGGGTTGGTGCGTCAGTACCTGATGGAATTGACTCAGGCGCGCGTAAAGTCGCGTCGCGTCGAAGGGATGCGCCAGGGCGCTTTGAGCGCCAAGGAAGCGCACGAGGAAGAGGTGCAGTCAGCCCGGACTCACGACCTGCTGTTTGACGAAGATGTGGAGGTGGAGCAGTTGATCGATCATGTTTCAGAACTGCTAAACAAAGGCGTCACGGCAGATGTGCTTACGATCGCCGAGCTACAGAAATACCGAACTTACGGCATCTCGAAACAAATTGACATCAGCGAAGTCTATAGTCACGACAAAGCCCTCGCCACACCCTCTTGGCTTAAAACTAGTCAAGCCAAAGCGGTCGCCGCCTCCTCCAGCGATTCAGATGATCTGGATGAACCGAGATCTAGCAAAACGAAAGAGAAGGCGGAAGAAGCGAAAAATATAGCCAAAGCCGCACAAGAGAAAGAGAAGAAGAAGAAGAAAGCAGCACTGGAGGAGAGAGAAAAGGAGAAAGAGAAAGAAAGGGAGAAAGAGAAAGAAAGGGAGAAAGAGAAAGAAAGGGAGAAAGAGAAAGAAAGGGAGAAAGAGAAAGAAAGGGAGAAAGAGAAAGAAAGGGAGAAAGGAAGAAAGAGAAGAAAGCAGCCCAAGAGGAGAAAGAGAAGAAGAAGGCTGCACGTGAGGAACAGGACAAGAACAGAAAGCAGGAGGAAAAGAAGGAAAAACGGGAGAGTAAAAATTTGACATCAAAGCAGAAGGCGAAGGCCAAAGATCCAGGTGATGTGGGCACTAAGGAGGGTGGCCTGCCGATGCCCCCGGAAGCGAGTTCGAAGAGTGAAGCTCCCAAGGGTAAAGTGCCTTCCGCGGTGAGTAAGGAGGAGAAGGAGAAAGCGGTCAAAAAAGTCCCCATCAAGAAAACGGTGCCGAAGAAGCCGGATGCGGCTAAGAAGGCAGGAGCGAAGAAGCCTAGTCTGCCGACGGGTAAGAAGAAGAAGCCGCCGCCGGCGAAGGCTCGAGTCGCGGTGAACGTGGAGGAGGTGGTTAAAGGTTATCGAGATTTGTTGGGGAGTAAGTCGGATAACATGCATGCATTGTTTACGATGATGAACGAGGGTTCCAGCGAGCCGTATGTGGACCTGGATCGGTTTATTGCGTTCGTGCGAAATCGGCTGGGCCTGACGGGGTCGCTGAGTACACCGGCGGCAGTGCAGTGTGCGTATGAGCAGTTGGCGAAGCTGTCAAAGAGCGGGAAGGGCTTTGCCAGTCGGGAGTTGTACTGGTTCATGGACGGTCCGGAGCCGGGGACTGCGGACATGGTTCAGGTCTGGAAGCGGTTAACGCAGACCTATGGCGATCCACCTTTGGCAGCTTTCAACGTGAGCGAAGAGGGGAATATTACGGAAGAGATGTTTGTCGAACAATTGGACTCGGTGGGCTACAGTAAGCCGCGCGCGTTGGACGTCTGGCTCCGGGTCTGCAGTGGCGGTACGGCTGGCGACAGCCGGCTGCACCGACCGGTGCTGGTTACATCCAGTGTGTTCGAGGTGTTGATGGGACACGAGATCGACGTGGCCAAAAATGAGGAGGAAAAGCGCTCCTTCCTCAACACCCTTAGCTGGCTCACGACCATCAGGCCAACTCAGGATACGAATGTCAAGGCGGCGACAGAAAAGACGGTGGAACAGCTCAAGACGGAGTTAGCCAGGGAGCGCATGATTAAGGAAAAGGAGCGTGAACGCGCTCTGGAGTCCCGCAATCTAAAGGAAGAAGTAGAAGTCTTCAGGTTGGAGCTGCTGGACCTGGTGGGACGCTCGGGCCGGAGTATGAAGGACTGGTACAATGAGCTTACGGAGCAGGGTAACCGGACCGACTATGACTTCGTGGGATTCAACCTTTCCGCTTGCCTCGACCTAGATGAGCCGGACGTGCTGCGTTCGCTTTTTGATGAACTAGCCCAGCCCATGCCGGGCAGTCTGCGGCTGCAGTCCTTCATCCGGAACCTGGAGGGTGTGGAACAGCCTGACCTCCGGGACGTGCAGCGCAGACTGGTGGACGTCTACGGGAACCCACCGACTGCGTGTGTGCAGGCCTTCGAAGGCTCGCTGAGCACCGCCGTCGACTTCGACACCTTCCTCGACCTCGGCGCCGCTATCGGACTTACACCGCAACAGAGCTCACAAATCTGGAAGACACACGTGTGCCAAAAAACACCCGATCGTGAGTCACTCACCGCCGCCTACTTACTGAAAATACTCCTCGGCCAGTGGACCGAGGACGACGTCATCAAAAAGGAGACCGAATCCTCTGGTCTCTTCGGCTTCGTCGCGGCCGCCTTTGAAGCGCTACCGGCCGTGGAGAAAGTTGCAAAACCTGCGCCGCTGCTCTCCGGTCGTGATGCCGCCACACTCGCTAAACATCAGGCCATTGTCAAGCGAGTTACCAACTCATACAAGGACGACGAACCGGTCTTGCTGCCGGTCACTGCGGACGTGCCGGAGCCGAAGTTGCAACTCACTCCACCGCAAGAGAGGGGGCCGAACGAGGTAGGGGCGACAGGCTCTGACGCAGCAGGCTCTGACGCGGCTGGCTCTGACGCGGCGGGCTCTGACGCGGCGGGCTCTGACGCGGCGGGCTCTGACGCGGCGGGCTCTGAGATGGTAACTCCAAAAAAAGGCGGATCGAAAAACAGGTTTCGGACGGTGCGGGCG